CTGACTGCGTTAATGTATAAAGCCTTAAAACACGGAGGTACCTAGGTCCTCAGACCACTCCACAGACTGTAAATAGTGACTGCAAACTCTGCAGAATACTCCAGGAATTTGTGTCTTGGCGAACCTCTGGAGCACGGTCAGTACATTTCTATTTAGCAGTCCTCAGAGAAGTTTTCTTCCATGAACTTGTGCAGACTCTTCCTGATTTGCCTTCTCCAGGAGCTCAAATCTGTATTGACCATTACCATACCCATCTCATCACATGATTACTTAGAAAAACAAGAGCTCATCAGCAATTCTTGTAAGTTCAGCCTTCTTTACAATGAATAAAATAGAAAGGGAAAAGTTTGCTCTTAATTAAAAGATGTATATGTGGAATAGAATGGAAGCAAGAACAGATCCTTGTAACTTCTGTCCACTGCAAAAATTGACTTAAACTTATTACGTTTACAACGTCCTAAATTACCTGTCCATCTGTGAGAGGGCTTTCCCCACACATCCTGTCAAACGTAAGCTTCTTCAGAGGTCACTGGTGAATGACCTTTTCAAGTGTGTTTGGGAAATGGAGCTACCTGAACAAGAGTGGTAGAAAAGTACAGCTTCCAGCTGTGAGAATTTGAGGCAGTTGCTGACCATTCTATGTTTATAAAGAGTGACCACATGCTCTGAATATTTGTTTGCTTGCTTCAAAAAAGGTCTAATCAAGGCAAGAAGAGCAAAATATGCAGAGCGAGTTTTTTTCATTTCTTTTTCAATTAAAAAAGTATTTTTAAAATCCCATATTACAGCAAGCGAGAAGTCAGTAATCCCTGGTGGGTTACATAAAAGATTAAATGGGCGGCCACAAACTGAAGCAGCTGTGATTGACCGCACTGTCTTCTAATACTATAGCAGCCTTAATGCCAACGCAAGAACAAGCATGTGAGCTTACAAGTCAAGACTCAGCATGCCGGAACACAGAGTTTTATGGCACAATATCGTGATGCTGCCATTTGGATACACCCCCTTGCAAACCGAAGACATTGCTAAGTACAGGTACTACCGTTTCACTCAAGCCTGTTGGAGCAGGTGAACAAAGCCTTAGAAAACCTTGCAACATGCAACACTGCTTTATGCACGCCAGTATCTCCCAGAATAGAAACAGCTAATTAAAATTAAGCAAAAAGCAGAACTGGGAGTCTTAGTTTCTCCATATATTAAGAAGTACGTAAGCACCTAGAAATAATATGAGAGTAGCATTAATTACAGGTTCTCCAAACACCACGCCACCCCAATCATTTCCTCAAAACAGATTTTTACTGCACTTACAAAAACAATAAAGGTAATGGGCATGGGAGCGGGTTGGTAGAAGCAGCCATAGACTTCAGGACTACGTAGTACTCCTAATCTTTTTTCAGATTTGATTGATTTTGCTAAATATAGCTTCAAGTACATGCTGCTACTCATGATGAAGACCATTTCACAAATCTAGTTTCAACGCACCCTGCCACTTGCTGCCACGAGAGGAGCAAGTATTTTTCTCTCAGACACACAGCTACTATGCTCACAATATACATTTGAAGATTTAATTCTGTATCATATAACACTTAAAGCCTTTTCTCTGGATCTGCTGAAGGCTCTACCACCAAACAGCTGTAGATTTAACAAGACTGTTCACATTACCCAGTAGAAATCAACTATCCAACTCTTGGGAAGGTATGCCCTCAGTTTCATCCAGACGATGTAGAGCTGAGGTTCTCCATTTTATACCCAGATTACACATGCTAGAGACAGAAGTTTTATAGAGTTAGTCAGAGAGATTTTAAAGTAACAATAAACATTCCCATTCTTATTCCCTTATTCTTCCCACAATATTAATAGAATAACTCAGCCATTGGCAAAGTTAACATTACCAATGCTGCCAGTGCCAAACAGGGGTACATCTGTTGTGGAAAAAGCTTTTTTCCTGTTTAAGATGTTACCACACAACTAGTCCATAGCTTGGAGAGAAAGACAGAAGCAGCCTCAGAGTGGTACAGTACTGAAAGACATTCAAGAAAGTTTTGCTCTACTACCGTAAATACCTATTGTAATGGCACCTAAACACAGAAGATACTACTGCATCGCCAGGCCTACTGCTGCTACTCTTCGCAGCTCCACTCCCACCCAGAAGAGGAAAATATTACAGTTCACATATACTAACCAAAGTTTGCCTTTCTGGCTTAAAAAATTGTTTCTGCAACAGACTTGTGAATTCAATCTTAACAGATATTACTTAAATCAATTTTTCTTGGAAACTCATTTACATTTCCTCTATAATTTAATCTAACTCCATCATGTTTTTCCTATAACATCCTCAAAACTTTAAATTCAATGACATCTGGGTTACAGAACTAATGGATAACATTTTTATTCATGTTTTCTCTTTCTTCTCTGGACAACACAGGTTTTCTAATACAGAATTTGCTAAAATTAAAAAAAAAAACCACAAGAAAATCATAATCATCTCTTTGCTATTTTAATGCGTAAATAAATTGAAAACCTTTAAAATCACAGAGAGTTACAGAACCCTTTTCTCTTCAGATATACAGCACTTCACTCCCCCCTGCTCAAATATGCTCAACTTCAGGTCAATATTTTTTCTATTATTCAGTCTGAAGTTCAAGTTGAAAGGATGTTTGAAATATATCTTAGTGTTAACAATTGGTTTCTACTAAGTTGTAAACAAGGTCTGAGAAATAGGGTGTTAAATCTAAAAATATGCATCTGGCAATGCATCTGCTGAGTGTTGCGTACAAAACCTGAACACACAGAATTGGATGTTCATTTACATTGACAACACTACACAAAGCTCTTTCAGTTTAAGGCTAGTTAAAGTTCCATTAGCATTCCCTTTAAGATTCATGATGTAATTACAGCTATGTACTGGGACAATACTAAAAATGAGAATTAGGCTTAAAATATTCTAAGCAAGAATTGTAAAAATTATGAAACAGTTCAGTACTACTAGCAGAATTTTGACAGGACTTCAGGAGTGTATTGATTTATTTTGCAATTGAATCCTGATAGAGTTATTCTTACCTGACTACCAAAAGGAAAATACAAAGTTAAATAGCCCAAAAAAGAGAAAAGAAGAGGATGCATAGATTAAACAACAAAAGACATCCACCTCCAGAGAGGTAAGCATAAGACAACTGAAATTCTAAAGATCAACAAAACATCAGAAACATACAAGGTCACTAAAAGTAAAATGGAGGGAGGAAAAGAAAGGAGGAAATTGATTTTCAGTGATTTATTACAGACTACCTCATTAAAACTGCTGTACTGTCATGTAGAAAGTAAAAGGAACACCTACTCTGGTAGCTGTTGCTATCCCTTCTGCCAGTTTCATTCCTGGATCTCCACAATGCTCCTATAACGCTTCCCTTCTTCCTAATTTACACTTCATATAGGCAAAACACCTGCTATTTCTAGAGAAACCCTCCACGCCAGGTAACTGCAGCCTTCCCTGCCAAGATTTCATGCAAAAGTTCTATTTAGTGGAGCTCACTTTCACCAAAAACATTGCAAGACCTACAGACGAGGAAGCAGAAGAAACCTGGAAAGAACAAGGGATAAAAAGAAAGCAAGCTTGAGAGATGAACTGAACAAATATGTGTTTCTCCCACAGGCTGTGACCGACTGTAATTAACGCTTTAACCAACCGAAAGCTGGTACGAAATGTTCAGAGGTTTCTGCTCCTGCCGACTCAATTCAAATTAATTGCATATATTTGTTAACTACCGAGCGGTTTCCACACTGAAGCCACTGCCGGAGAACCACTGCCTAGGCCTTTGGGATATTCAAAAGGCCACATCTACACCTCACGGGTGTTTTGCAAGAACACTTTACTGACTGTAAAAACACTTGTTTTGCATGCACGCCCCGTTACTGCAGCCA